CGACTCGTCGACTCGGACGCCTCCTCCCCCTCCTCCCCCTCCTCCCCCTCCTCCCCCCTCCTCCCCCCTCCTCCCCCCTCCCTCCCCCTCCTCCCCACCCCCTTTGCACCTTAAGGGAAGGGGGCCGGTACGGCGAGTCCCCCCAGACCATGCTGGCTGACGAACGTCCCTGGACTCCTCTTTCTTCTCATCCATGCCCGCCCGCACCCCCCACGCCAGCTGACGCCGAGCAACACGACGGTGCAGCAACGCATGCTCGCCGCGGGCATCTTTAACGGTCTCAACGAGGCTTGGAACGCCAGCGTCGCAAAGTAACAACCCCTCGTCCGTCCGTCCGTCCGCCCGTCCGTCCCTCCTTCCGCTGCAAGATGAGATGAGATCGGCGCACCGCAGGATCAAGATCACGGCCGAGAGCCAAGATCACGGCCAGGGACGACCATGACGTGGGTCGTATCATTCTGCTCCGTGTCACACTGGCAGACCTGCGTCGCGTCGCGTCGCGTTGCGTCGGTGCATTGGTCTTTTCCACATGGGCTTTTTACACCTCCTCGGTTCCTCTGTCCTGCTGTGATGGTGACTGAGTTCGAGATCCGATGGATGAGACAACCAAAGGTAAGACGGGATTCGGGATGGGCATGTCGATGGGAATGGGGGATAGCGGGCGGGCGGGCGAGCGAGGAAAGGAGCGAGGGGATGGATGGGATGATGGTCTAGGAGGTGCCATGTCCGAGACGCGCCGTGTGGCTGTCCTGGTCCTGGTCTTGATCCCGGTCCAAGCGAGTCCTTGTCGTGCAGGCGAGTCCTTGTTGTCGAGGGGGCGGGCAGATAGTAGTAGTATAGGGTGCGGACGAAGCTTGCGGATTTCCTTGTTGGCTTGGCTTGTGGGCAGGGTGGGGCAGGCAGATTGAGCAGGGTGGGTAGCGGAAGACTGAGTGACGAGGCTAAGGGCTGGGCAGGACCGGGGCGAGGATTGCGTTGAGCGCGCGTGGGCACACCGCGGCGCTTTGCTAGAGCAGTCGAGATCGACCTGCCGCCGCCGCTGCCGCGTCGGCGCCATTCTGTCGCACCAGGGCCTCTTGACGATGGAGGTACATGACAAACTGCGGCGGTAAGCGTGTCAGAGACGAGGGGCGGGGGCAAGCCAGGAAGGGACACGACGATGGTCAGCACGAGCGCCAGCTCGCTCATCTCGTATGCAAGCCAGGCCTCGACACCGCCGGCACCGCCGGCACCGTCACCACCGCCACCGCCATCAACGGCACGCACCTCGACGATAAACTTGACCTGCTCGGCCGTCTCTATGGCCTTTGGGCTGCGCCGGCGCCGGATCGTCTCAATCAGCCTCTCGACCGTATCCAGCACCGCCTGCGATTCCGAAGTGTTCGCGATCGCAGGCGTGGCGTTTGTCACGGTGGCCGCTGTCGCGTCGGCGAGTCGTTCCGCGGCACCGTCGAGGGACTGCATGTCGCCGCTGCCTGCACCGCCGTTGTCAATGGGCATGTCCGATGGCGCTGTTGCTGCTGCTGCCAGCGGCGAGGGACCGACCAGACCCAGCTTGAGCATCCACAGGCACGCCGATAGCCCAGCACGACCGACGCCGCCGCGGCAGTGGACGAGGATGCTCTTGCCGCGCAGCGTGTAGTCCTGGATCAGGGCCGTGATGGCATCGTCCATGCGCGTCACGCACGTCGGCGCGAAACCCTCGGCCATCGGCAGCCGGATCACGTCGAGGCCCAGGCTGTCGGCCTCGCGCTCATAATCTTCCCACGGCGCGCCCAGGTAGGCCAGCTCGTCGTTGTCGAGGCAGCACACTACGGCGCGGATGCCCAGGCCGTAGATGCGCTTGAGGTCCAGGCCGAGGTCCCTGCAGATGGCTCCGCGCCCGCGCACCGGGCCCGACAGCCGCACCTTTTTGCCCGGGCACGACGACAGCAGCATGTTGCCGATGCACGGTCGGCGCGCAGAGGTCGGCGATTTGGCAGACGAGCTCGGTTGCGAGGCCGTCACCGCCTTGGAAGGCGAAATCGACGTCTCGTCGGCGGCGGCGGCTGCCGCAGCGGCGGCCTCCTGCGCCTCGGCTGCCGCCTGGTCGGCGATCTGCGCCTGCGACTGCACGCCGGCGCCGTCGGCGTCGAGAGGGCGACGAGATCGACCACCTGCGGCAGGCGCACCAGGCGGCGTCCAAGCGCCTGCTCGCGCTCGTGAACGACCGGGTCGATGAACGACGGCGTAGGTTGGTGTATCCGGCCAACCTCAGCGCCACCGTCGCCCCCGTCCTCGATCCCATCAAACTCGCCGACAAACTGCGGCGGCGCGGCGGCCAGGATGCGGTCCGAGATCTCCTGGAGCAGATTCTCGGGCACGATGGGGCTGATGTGGATGGGGTGGGTGTCGCTCGTCTTCATGGCCAGGCTGGCCTGCTGGGACGGCGGCATTGCGGCCACCGGGGGCGGCCGCTGCTGCTCGTGCGGGGGGACGTGCCCGGGCTTCTCCGTCGGGCTGGCCTTTTCCAGGTCCTGGACGTAGATCTCCTGGGTGGTCAGCGGGCCGTTGACCATGACGCTGCTGCCGGCCTGCGCCGCACCGTTGCCGGCCGTGGCCTGGGAAGAGGTTGGGCTGCCGTTCGCCAGGCCGTCGTGCCCGGTGCCATCGGACCTGTCTTTGGCGTCCTTGATCTCGACCATGCGCGTCGAGCGGTCGAGGTCGTTGATCTTGGACTCGGACTCGTTCTGGTCGTCGATGGGCAGGGACTCGGTCGACGAGGACGCGGCGCTTTCTGGCGGCGCTGCCGTCGCGCGGATCGAGTCGGACATGGCCTGGCTCAGCTGGTCCTCCATGGGGAGGCGGCTGCCCTCGGTCGAGCAGGTGCGGAGCAGACTGGTGGCCCTGGCGTTGGGCGGGGTGATGACGGCGGCCGAGCGCTTGGTCCCGACCATCGAGGCAGGCGGCTCGCGGTGCAGATCCTGCAGCGAGATCTTGAGGACGGGCGTCGAGGACTGCGTGCGCTGCTGCTGCTGCTGCTGCTCGCGCTGCTCGCGCAGTTGGATGCCGCGCTTGCGCTTCTTGTTGATGAGCCACTCGACGGCCTGGCGTTCCGACTGGCGCTGCTGGGACATGGTCTGCTCGACGGCGTCGGGGCGCTGCAGCGTGATGGGGACGTAGGCAAAGGGGGAGCCGCGCGGGCCGAACTTCATGAGGCTGTAGGGGCTCATGTGGTGCTGCGAAGCGAATCTCGAGAGGTCCATGAGAACGATCCATTCCTGGTTGCCGCTCTCGCGCGCTGCGCGGAAGGCGTCTTCGACGAGAGCATCCCTCTCTTGGTAGTGCTGGAGGAGCAGCGTGTTTTGCTGTTGCTGCTGTTGTTGTTGTTGTTGCTGCGCCTGCTGCTGCTGTGCCTGCTGCTGCTGTGCCTGCTGCTGCTGCTGCTGCTGCTGGGTGAGCTGAGGCTGCGCGTGGTGCTGCTGTTGGTGGGCCCTGTGTATGGCCTCTTCCTGGCTGAGCTGGGCATCGCGCATGAGGCTCGGCTGGCGATCCTGGGGCTTGCGCTGGATGGAGAACTCAGTGACTGGATCGGCCTTGAGCTTCGAGGAGCTGTCCGGCGCGAGGTCATGGTGGATCGAGTGAAGTGGGCGGTGATGTTCCTGCTGCTGGCCAGTCGAGGTGATCAGGGCCGACGAGGCGGGGCGATCCTTTGCGCCGCTGCCGTTGGGCCTGCTGGCGGCGGCGGCGGCGGCGGCCAGTGTCGGGCTCTTGTGAGATTGCGGCGGGGACGAAGCATGGTTGCCGGATGAGCGTTGGGCGGTGGTGACAGTCGTGGTGTTGCCGTTGTGGCCATGCGACGACGAAGGAGAGAAAAAGGGGGACCGAGAGGGCTGGTGCTGGTGCTGCTGCTCTGCGGGAACCAGAGCGGGGCTACGAAAGGCGGGCACCGAGAGGGGAGGAGTGAGCGGGGTGGCAGGCTGCACCACGGGCTGGCTCATGGCGGCCGGTTGTTGGCGACAGTCGCACGGGCTCAGAGTGACGAGGCGAGGCGAGGCGCGCAAGGTGTCGGCGATGCTCTAGCAGAGGATGTGTGTACGGGAGCGTCTGTCGGGATCAAGATGCAAGGCGGCCTTTCGACGTTGGGGCCATGCAATCAGGTGCCAGCGGAGGGTGGCAGAAGACGGAGCGTGGCAACGCAAGGTCGCGGTGAATGGCCGAACGATGAATCTAGGACCGAGGTCGAGGCGAGATGTGGTGCAAGAGAAGAGAAGGGGTGCTGCGATCCGGGGTCCAGAGGAGACGGGCGACGGCTGTCTAGCGGCGAGGCGGTCAATGGAGAGTCGGCGCGTCGGTGTCCGAGGGAGGTGTTGACAGGATGGCGGTGAGTAGTCTAGGCGGGTCTCGACGGGGGACGTCCGAAGTGAAGGTGCAGGCCGCCGGGGAGGATCAGTCTAGCAGTCAGTAGTAGCGTCAGAGTGAAGGCGGGCGATCGAGGGACGAGATGGTGGTGGCAAGGGTAGCGGCGGTCGAGGGGGTCGGTGTGCGGAGGGCGGAGGGCGTGCCGTCGATCCATACGCGACAGCCCGTGTGCCGCCAGTCTGACTTGGTGGAGGACGAGGCCCGCTCTACGCTACTCACCCGCCCAGTGGCGGCACCTCTGTGGGCCTGGCCTCGATCTGGGCCGGGCGCCTGCAGATCCAAGGTGGCGGCGGCGGGGGCCCCCCTTCCAGCAGGCAGGCCTCTGGCAGCCAGGCAGACGGGGGCAGACAGGCTGGCCAGACAAGCGCAGGGGCTGGACCCTGTCTCTTGGCCTCCCCCTCGTTGGCCACCAGCAGACGAGCAGCCGCCCAGCCAGGCCAGCCAAGCCAGCCGGCCTATCCGCAGCCAGGTGGCCAGAAGATCGAGCGAGTCTAGTTCGTTTGCGCCGTCGCCTGCCTGCCTGCCTGCCTGCCTGCCTGCTCAGGCTGCATCTCAGGTCAGTCTCGGTCGGTCCGCACTCGTGTGCCTTGGTTCGCCAGAGCCAGAGACCCTACCGAGCCTCCCAAGCAGCAAACAACAACGCCCAACAGCACACACAGGCCGGGCTAGGGTCCTCGCTCCTCGCCCTCGACCTCCCCTCCTCGTCTCGTCGCACGTCGGCGTCGTTTCGCAATCCCTCTGCCTCGCCGGAGGGTGACGACGACCAACCGACGACAGCTCAACCAACGCCTTGCTTGTCCTCGACAGCCACCAGGCCCGCCGCCGGCCGCACGACGACATCGAATCCGATCATGATGATGTCGGTTGGTCGGGGCCCCCGGCCTCCGTTTGCTCGATCTTTGTTCTGCATCTCGATCTGCCCTCGCTCAGCCGATCGTTTTCCTCTTCCCTGCCTGTCAGCCCGCCAGCCCGCCTGGCCGCCTGGCCGCTTGCCCCTCGCCGCCCGCTCGCTCCCCGCAGCGGCCCTCGCCCTCAGCGCTCGGGAGCAGATCGAGCCTACCGGTACCGCACCCTGCCGTACCACAGCCAGAGGTGGCCTCGCCTTCGAGCCCGGCCAGTCCCCTTGGCGTCGGCGCCCAACCGTGCCCTGCCCTGCCCGGCCCCTCCCTGCCTCCCAGCGTCCCTGCCTGTCTCTGCGCCGACGCCCGCCCTTCCGCCCGCCTTGCCAACCGTCATGGGGTAATCTGAGATGCGCCGATGGCCAGCCCGGCCCTTCCGCTCCGTCTCTGGATCGCACCCCTACGCTCGACCAGCTACGGTAGCTGCCTGACGTCCCCTCGGCCCTCTTCCCCATCTCCCGTGAGCGCCGCCTCGTCGGCCTCTCTCGCGGCCAAGGCTGACGCTGCTCGCCGTGGGGACGGATCCGACCGGGGGTCAAGAAATCGGCTCGCCTCGACGCCGACCGGATCTCGTCCGGGACCGAGGTAGGGGTAAGGGTCCTCGGGTCGGATCCGAAGGCACCGACCGCAGGGCCCCCATCTTGCCCTGCCTCGGATCCTCTGTGGCTCGCTCCCGGCAGCGGACCAGGGAGCCTTGCATCCGAGGCGTGGCATGCATGGCGGCCGACAGGCGAGAAGCCGAAACCAAGAGCCAGAAGAGCTAGCGAGGAGAGGCCGGAGGAACGTCGCTTTCTTTCTTTCTCGAGGCCACCCTCTCTTCGCGCACAGGCGGCATGCCCCACCTCGCCCTCGCCAGAGACGACATGATATGGCCTCCAGGCACTCTTACAGTACTCCCTCCCCCCTCCCTTGGTCATCCTGGCATGGCCCTTCGACCACCTTGCTACCGTAGGTCGAGCCTGGCGCGCTTACTGTATCAGCCATCGACCCAGACACTCGCCTCTCTCCCGGTGAGGGCTCTGCTGAGACGGCGATGGCTGCATCCGATCAAGACGCCCGAGGGCGGAGAGCGGAACGGCCGCACGCACGTACGACGGCGTCTGCACGACCCGCCTTCGGTGCTGGGCGGGGTTGCTGGCTGAGTTGGATCTCGCGCCGACCAGATGGCTGGGGTGAAAGAGGCAGGCCACCTCACCTGCCCCAGCCACCCGCAGCGCGCCCACGGGTCAGCCAGAGCGGGCGGCAATTTGCTCTCTTCTCGGCCGTCCTTGGGGCAAGCAGCCGCAACCGCCTCGACGACGACAGCTTCCTGCGGGCTGCGGCGGGTTGAGGGGCCCACGAAGCGGCGGCAATTGCTCTCGTACCGCTGGCAGAAGAGGACACAGGCGGCGGTTGCGGTTGCGGCTGCGGCTGCGGCTGCGGCTTTTGCACTCGTCTATCGGTCCGGCGGTGCCCGCGCTAGGGCAGCTGTAGGTCGAGAGACGAAGCAGAGAGCCAGAGCTGTGAACCACGTCGTGGCCGCTCGCGAAGCTGGACAGAGAGCTAAAAACAGGTACGCCCGCGTATGTTCCGCGCACCTCGTTTCTTCACCAGCCACGCCTGGTCAGGTCGAGAAAGAGCTTCTGTGCAGCACATACAGCACACGCCGTGCTCAGCCGTGCTGTGATTCGCAGGCCGAGAGGACGGATCGTCAGCAGGCACGAGGCGCGAGGAGCTCAGTCTGAGTGGCCAGGCCAGGCCAGGCCAGGCCAGCATGCGGATGCGCCAGGACTCAGCAGCAGCTGGCAGCTAGTTAGCAGCAGGTGGCGTGCGCGCAACGCCGCCGCCGCCGCCGCCGTTGTCGTCACCACCACCACCGCAACGGCCTTTTTGCCTCACGGTGCACTTCGACCCGCGAACGTGTCTCTTCCTTTCGGGCGTGCAAGCCAGCCAGGCCTGGATCGTCAACGAGCGAAGAAGATCCGCGGACGATCGATCTGTATGTCGCTGCGCTGCTGCTGCTGCCGACGCCGCTGCGAAAGGGGGCCGCGAGGAGGGAGGGTGGAAAAAAGCGAAATTCCGAGGCTAGGCCGGGGGGTGAGGTGTTGGTCGAGCCCATGCCTGCGTGTGTGTGTGTGTGCGTGCGTGCTGGCCCACCTGGCCATGCCGTGGCTGGCTGCGCGGCGCGGCGCTGCGCTGCGCTGCACGCCGCCAAACCACCAGCTTGGTCGACCGTGCCGAGGCAGGCAGACAAGCAGGCAGGCAGACAGGCAGCCCAGCAGGGCCAGCCTCGGCCATCCAAGAAGGGCGAGGCCAGGAGGGAGGGCGAAGGCAGGCAGGAGGCGGGCCAGGCAGGCCAGGGCAGGCCAGAAGGCAGCCTAGGCAGGGGCAGAAGCGCACCGTGCCACCTCGGACCTGGCTCTCCTTTTGTCCTTTGGTTTTTGGCTCTGGCTCTGGCTGGCCTACCGCTCCTTTGGCTGCACACTCTCTGGCTGCACCGGCCCACGGCCACCACCACCATCACCGACGCCGGCCGCTGCTGCCACCATCACCACCATCATCCCTTCCATCACCACTGCCTCGTCCTTGCCGCCGCCGCCGCCGCCACCGCCACGACTTGCGGCCTGTTTGCTTGCTCTCCCCTTCCTTCCATCCTTTGTCCGTTTCTCCGAGCTCGCAACTGTCACTGCCGCACCATTTCTCCGCTGCTGGTCCCCGTTCCTTGACGCCGCTGTCCTCCCAACCTCGACTCGACTGCACACCTACCGACCCTGATCGGACACAGCCGGACCGCACTCGGGACAGGCGCCACTGGTTGGCCTTTTTTGCGTGCACGCACAGAGCTCTCGTCGTCTCTTCTCGCCCTTTTCTTTGAGCAAGCCCGGCTGGCGTCGGCATCTCTCCGACTTGGTCCCACGCTCCTACTCGCACCCTGCTGCGGCGTCTTGCCCACGCACCCACGCTCCTTGATCCTCTCGGTCCGACCCGCTCGCTTCCTGGTGCCCCATCTGCCCTTTGCAAACCTCGCGCCGCCAGCCTGGACGCCGGACCTCTGCTTCTCTGCACAGCAAAGCCCAACGTCCGAGCGACCGCCCGCCACCGCCTGCAAGGCCGTGACAACTTTCTCCGGCCGCCCTGCCGCCACCCCTCCGGTCCTGTACCGCGCTTCGGTTCCCGTTTCCACCCGGATCCTCTCCGACGCTGGCACAGCAGCCACATGAGCTCGGCGTCACCGTTGCCACTTCCAGCCGCTTGTCGTCCTTGAAGCACCACTTCCACCTCGGCCAGCGCTTACTGCTCTCCTTTGGCAGCTTGCCCGCCGGCCTCTTCGTCTGACTCTCGGATGCGCTGGGCAGAGGGCGTGATTTTCAATCTGTCGCTACCCCAGCTCGTCCCGCCGCCGCCGCCTCTGCGTCCACTCCCCAGCTCCGCCCGCCCGCTCTGCCCGCCATGAAGCGCAACACGACGTTCACAAAGTCGTTTGTGCGCAGACCGGGCGGTCGGCCCGACACGACCGTCCCCATGCGCACCGAGGCGCCCCCGCCGCTGCGCCAGCCCACCCGGATAGCGCGCGCAAAGACCCTCACCCGGCCAGAACGCTCGCAGCCCCAGGTACCCCTGATCAACCCGTCCGAGGGCGGCGCCGGCTTCTCGGCAGCCTCGACGACGCACAGCGGCACCTCGGCATGGGCCTTGTTCGCCGTCCTCGTCACGTTCTGGGCGCCCGGGCCCCTGCTCAGCAGCTGCGGCGGCCTCAAGGACGCGGCCAGCCGGCAGGCGTGGCGCGAAAAGGTCGCCCTCGTCCTTGTCGCCTGCCTGCTGGGCGGCTTCATCGGCTTCGTCACCATGGGCCTCAATGCCGCCCTCTGTCCGCCCAACGCCCAGGAGTTCACCGACAACATCCGCGTCGGCACCTACGGCGGCCTCCTCGGCGTCCACGGCTGGGAGTTCAACATCTCGGCCGCCCGCAACCTGCCCTCGGAGAACGGGCTGGTGACGCAGCTGTTCAAGCTGGCAAAGGACCGCCCCGGCGCGGATATCACACCACTCTTCAACGTGGGCAAGGACGCAAACTATCCCGCCTGCAAGGGCCTCTCCGGCGCCTATGCCGCCGACGCCGTCTGCACCACGTTGGCGGGCGCCGTGACGGCAAAGTGCCCCATGGGCACGCTCAGCGTCGCCCAGATGACGGCGTACGGCATGACCAACACCTCCAAGGGCGTCGGCTACGACTGGAGCGACATCGACTCGGGCAACTTCACCAACACGATTGTCCTCGACGGCGTCGTCCTCAACCTCAACCCGTACCTGGTCGCCCAGCCGACGCCCGTCAAGGGCGACGCCGTCGACGCGGCCATCCGCAACCAGCTCGAGAGCAGCAACGGCGGCGGCGGCCGCGACGCCACCATGATGTTCTACACCAACCCGGAGACGCGCAAGGCGATCCAGTGCCTCAAGCAAAAGTACCGCGCCGGCAGGATCGACAAGATCACGCCCGGCTGCTTCATCTCCAACCTGGTCCTCTACATTGCGCTCATCGTCATCCTCGGCATCGTCCTGATCCGCTTCTTCATGGCCATCTGGTTCGCGTGGTTCATGGTCGGGCCAATGGCGCGGCCCCCGCCGGCGTCGGCGACTCGGGCGGCGCGGCAGCGGCT